CTGTAAATTGTTCCCCTAAACCAATCCATTGACAACTACATCCATTAATTAATATGTATTCATATGGGGGGTTCCATAAATGTGGGTATCCCAAAATGGTTGGTTGATCATGGAGAATCCGAAAAGCAAATGGATGATTTGGGAGTACCCCCATTTCTGGAAACCTCCATATGCATTCATATGTGTATTAATAAAGTTGATAGGTTGTTTATCTCATGGTTTATAGGGTTGAAAAAACTATCCAAGGTGGTGCAATATGTATCATATGTTTATATAGTTATATATATATACATGTACGTTTTTCCATCATGAAGAAAAACACTGAGGATGAAAAACCAACAAACGTTGGAGTGAATCACTGAGAATATGGGGATTTATCATACCTGTAAACAAATCGATCAATGAAAATGCCAATGTGTGATAGAAAAACATCTGTAAACAAAGATACGTCGATGATTTTCTGCTGCCCAGTGGTTCTCCTAGTTGTCCCCACCAGCGTTGAGGCTTTTCCCTCTGACCTCACAAATACTGTAGATATTTCCCTATGCAAATCTTGTAGAAACGTGCAGGGCCGATGATTGACACAATGCCTGAGGCTGCCTGGGAGATGATGTTCCCAAAAAAATCTGGTAGATTTGAGCAATCTGAAGTCACTATCCCCACGGATTTTTTGGTCATGATCCCATGCTTTCGACCCAGGAAGATGCTATTCAACCTGGAGCCATCCACTTGATATCCGCTGCCCACGTCCCAACTTCACGTTGGGCAAATCCAAGGCCCAAAATGAGAGCGGATGAGTTGTGTTCATTTTTAGTAACTCATTGTGAACATATTATAACATACTATTTGGGTAAAGTTTACCATATTTCACTAACCTGAAATGTTGGGCCATTTGGGGATGAGTCCCCAAATCCTAACCATGATGTCACTGGATTTTTTTCAGATATTATAAGTCATTTGTAAATGATCGTTTAACTCGACTTACTTGTAAATCAAAAAAATATTTAGTAAGATCTTGTAGTTGGATATCCAGACATGACCCAAGAATTCAATTTACCCGGCCTGGTAAACGACACTAACAGTTCGCGAACTGGAAAATCACCATGTCCAAGTTCGGTAAATCAACTATTTCAATGGTCATGTTCAGTTATATAAAAAATGACCAGAGGGTATATCATGATTAACAATTGATTAACAATTATCAACCATTATTAGCCCTAAAAAAAAAAACTTGATTACCCTCTGGTAAACTAACATAATTAACTATGGAAAATCACCATTTTTAATGGGAAAATCATGGAAAATCCACTATAACTGGCCATTTTCAATAGCTATGTTACCAGAGGGTAACCCATTTTGTATCCTGATGTTGGACCCAACAACTTGACCCAGCACGAAACGTAGAGCTTCGCCTCTTGAGCATGGCCACGTGGCTGCTGCTGCTGCGTTTCAGCATCGGACCGTGGATCCAGGAGCGGGCCAAGGGTTCCTCCGATTTCGGATGGGGCTGTTGGAAGTGTCGTTGTTAAACCATGGGTAAACAATCTTAAACAATGGGAATTCAGAATTCGTGGTGATTTAGTGGGATTTCAGAAGGACAATTGATAGGGTTTCATGGAACATAATTTTCATGCTGATGAAATATCTGTAGATCTTTTTTGGGGGGAATCCAGAGGTTTCATGAAACGCGCGGGCTGGTAGAAGCTCGCGTGTTTTGAAATGGGGGGAATCCAGATCAAATCTTCTGCGTAAGGACGTGGGGATGGTTTCTGAAAACCCCAAAGTCGACATTTTTACGTCCCAGCGGGGTGACGTTAACGCGCTAGCAGTTGTCCATGTTTAAAAAAGGAAAAAGCTTCTTCAAAGCACGACGTTTTTTCATTGTTTTGCGTATGTGCAGGAAGTACGTATGTGTGTGCAAGAGAAAATGTCTCTAGCGTAGCAGGAAGTATGCCTGTATGTGCAAGAAAAGATGTCTCTAGCAGAGCATCAAGTAAGTGTGTAAGTGCAATTGGACGTTATTGGCCCCACCCCACCCCACCACCCCCCCACCCCACACCCCCTCCCAAACCACCAAAGATGCATTTCGTATTGCGGTCTTCTACCAGCCCGACACCTTTTTATTATATCTATGTTGGTATTTGTTTTTGAAAAAAAAGAAACCCTTGGATTTTCCATATTACTATGTTGGTTGATAGGAGAACTGATGAAGGAAATCATGGTGAATTCATGGCGATTTTTCATGGGAAGAGATCATGGGATATTCCTAGGAGTTTATGAACCAGCTACCGTGGATTAGTGGATTATCATGGATTGTTGTGGATAAATTTGGATGTACCCTCCAAGAATCAACCATGGCTAGCTGGAAAATTCCTGAACTCAACGGAGGTGTCGAGCTGGGAAAATCATCGAACTAAATGGGAGATTTTCCAGCATCAGGTTTGATTACCAGAGAGTACTAGTTTGAGATATCTACCATTATCTACTTACCCTGGTGAAATTGGAGTTGGAAACTTCGCTAAGTATGGGGTACCACCTTGTACCACGGGTCTAACTCAGTACAACAAACAAATTACAACAAAGATGACTCCAGCAGCAGAAGGGATTGAACCTTCATCGTCATATTGCTAGTGATCATTATCTGGTTGGTGGTATACCTACCCCTCTGAAAAACGATGGAGTTCGTCAGTTGGGATTATGACATTCCCAACGGAATGGAAAAATAAAATTCATGTTTCAAACCACCGACCAGTTATTGGGGGGGATAGTTGTGGTACTTGGAGGTTTTCTAAGTCATGGGGGGAACCCAAAATCATGCCAGCGAGAAGCGACGTCTGCCATAGAAACGGGCCATGGAAAATGTGATTTCATCACTTAGTTGAGGTTCTAAGCCTGATGTCAATATATATATATATTATATATATAATTATATATATACATGGAAACTATATGTTCTAACCCTGATTTTCATTACTTAGATATGAATCTTGCAATCAGGAACTCATGTTTTCCTTTACTGTATCTGATTGCACTGTGAAGCCTGGAAAATCGACCGTTTCATGTTTCGGGATCCCGCTGCTGGACATGGCTTGGGATGGCTTGGGTACCCGTGAAACGGCAATGAACTAATAGGGAACATGATTCAACTGATTTGTTTAACGACTGGATTTGGGGGCAACCATGGGTAACCTATTCTGAGACAAAACCATATGGGGTCCCATATCTTTCAGCCATGAAGCCATTCACACCAACCTTCAGCCATGAGGCCACCAGGGCTTCTCCACTGGGACACGGGCCCCCATGGCCAAAGATCGGTGAAATGTATGATCGACATGAAATTTGGTGAAAATTCAAGGATATTCCTGAGTTGTTTTTCAATCTTCATCGCCTTTCCCATATATTTTTCCATACTTTGAGGCTGTTCTTATCATCCCAGTAAAAACCCTCCATTTAGAGTGGATTTTCCAGCTAGAAATCTCCATTCGTTGGAGATTGTCCCATTTTTTAATTCTTTTTTCCCAGGCCTTTTCGTCCATCCATGGCTTGACTCCATGGCCCAAAACCAACAGGGCCTGCGGAGGCAAAACGTCGTAGACCTGGCCGCCGTGTGTTCAGTGTGTTCACTTCAACCCTGGGGATGAGCTATTCACATGGCACTATGATTGGGAAACTATAGTTAACTATGGTTTATGGTAGAAATAGTCTATAGTTAATGGTGGTTATAGTATGTTATAGTTAATGGTTTAACTATAGTTGATGGCTAATGTTCATGATTTACCCTCTTATTGAACATAGCCGTGGAAAATGGCCCATGAAAATGCCAATCGAAATAGATGGTTTACCTATTGAAATGGTGGATCTTTCCATGGCTATGTTAAATAACCAGATGATTGAAAATCCATCATTTGCACCAGGTCAATCATTATAAAGAATTTTTCTGCGCCATGGCTGTTTGCAGACCCCAAAGGATGGCGAAAACGACCAGCATTGGTGGATGGAACATGGCATTTACATGGCATTTCATGGTGATTGGGATGTACCCTCTGGTAAACTAACGTAGCTATAGAAAATCACCATTATTAATGGGTAAATCCACTATAAATGGTCATTTTCAATAGCTATGTTAAATTACCAGAGGGTAGAACTGCAACAAATTCCCCAGCTGCGGCTATCCCCTCACCTGCCAGGCTGACACTTTGGCCCATGTGCACGAGACCAAGACGGATCGCACCAGCTTCAACCTGCCGCACGGGTTTCACCAAACACCCCATTTACCTTTGGGTGATAAAATGGGCAAAGATAGAGGGACCAGCAACTCGCCATCAACAAACATGGTGTTTTAACCAATGAACATAGGGGACTTTTACTATGATATAATGGATATTAATGGATAAACTGGGGATATTTGTTGGATAGAATGGCTTATTTGACCAACAGCCAGTGGTGATTCTTTTGGTGACATGGTGACCAACCATTTCATGGGGATGTCATGGATAAACCACCAACAATACGACGTGGGGGCAGATGCAGTAGGTGAGCGCCTGGCTTAACCTACCATGGGGACGGTTTATACCCATAACTAGTGCTGTATACTCGCCAACCCAAGACATATATTGGGGGCTAGCGCGGCTAGCGGCTACATGATTTACCTGTTGTTGGATGCGGCTTCCGATGGCCATGTTTCTTTACTGGCAGGCACACTCTTACATATGTGAATTTCACATTGAACTTGGAGATCACGGACGATGATGGGCCCTGCTCCTAGATAATCTAGATATGCATCGATTTCGATGATAGCTACCAAAAAATGCGATGGGGTGTTCCTACGTGTAGATGCTGAAAATCGGGTTCGGTGTTCAGTTTCGGCAGAAAGTAAGAGCCGTTTTCCTGCTCACCAAGCGCCCACCTGGCAGTAGTGGTGAAACGTTTACACAGTGGTTTCACCAAGCAAAGGCGAAACAAGCAATGATTCACACTGCACATTCCAATATTCAACTCATTCAACAATAGTGCAGACACATTAGGAGAATCCACAACAAGAGCAACCATGCCAAGGCTAGAAACGGCCAAAAATCAGATAAACCCATTTCTCCCATCATGCTCGCCGATCTCTCAATAGCCCAGCTGATGGCCATCACAAGCACTGTAGCCAGATTCCCCACAAGAACAGCAGCCACGAGTCTTCGCACTCTCACCATCAACAAGAAACCGAGCTTCACCGTCACCTGTACTACAATCAGCACCTGGAACGAGCTCATGATGAAAGGAATAAAATAAAATCTTGCGACCGCCACGACACATCTCCAGAAATTAAGCATTGGGTCGGTACTTTGCAGCCACAAATTCTTCATCCATACCACACTGTCGCACAGCCAAGGGGATAAAGTGCCACACAATACTAAAAACAAAGTGGAATGGGGAAGTATGATGTTCGTAGCAAGCTTGGCTTGGATCTGCTTGCGAAGGACTGTTTGAACTTCCCGGTCGAACTTGTCCAAATGCTCCTCCTCTTCCCCCTTCCCATACCATGTCTTCAACGCATCAAACACCAGTGCCCGGTCACAAAGCAAAGTCCGCCCGGTTTCCGGGTGGCGGTGATGGTTCGCGCAGCAAAAACAGTCAGAAGCGTTCACACTAAACTCACGCAGCTGCCTATTGACATCCTGAATCTCCGTCCACAAGCCCAAGAGCAGGTACTGTATAAAACAACAGGCAACAATGGCAGCCACACCAAAGTAGGAGACACCAGAAGGCGTTCTTGGTTGTGGAGGCCAAAGGCCCTCTGATGCCGCCCAGAATTGAATTTGCCGGAAAGCAACTGCAAACAAATTACCGGCGATCAGTGAAACCATGACCTCAGCGGTTGCTGCAGGCAACAAGGTCACTTGTCGATTCTTTGCTGTTTGACTTTCCCGCAGGAAAGCGGCAACCTCGAAGCAGCACCAAAGACGGGTGAAGTACCGCGAGGACCATAGGATGGTCAACTCTTCCGAGTGATCCAAAAAGGAAGCCAAGCCCAGGATTCCTTGTGTCTTCAGTGCGTGATCATGCTGCGCGATGCATAGCCTGTCAAGGAAAGCGGTCTTTGGCCTTCTGAACAAGCCGCGGAGCCTCTGCCAAAAGCAGAGGAAAAACACAAAGGTGGCTTGCGGCAAAAGGGAAGTCAGATCTGTACTCCGAGTATCGTAGTTCGTCGCAGCTTCTACGTCCTGCCAAGGGGCTTCTCGGCAAAAACCAACAAACACAGCACAGAGCGCGGCCGCACATGTTGCGGCACGGGCATTGAAATAGACGATCATGACCGAAATCTTTCTTCTTCGAGAAGTTTTCCAATCATGGCTCAGAAAATGGTCAATCTTGGAGACCTGGAAACTCAGACCGTAGTCTCGTTTTTGGATCTCATACATGCTCTTTGCTGAGCTGTTTGCAAAATGTTTGCCCCATCCACTGAGGCAATCAGTCAAAGACACTCCGTGGAGTAGTGAGGCATCCTTGGATTTGCGCTGTGGAGTTCCTACTGATTTCAAACGTGTGGCACAAAAAACCCAACAATAAACCACCATCCCCAATGGCTTAGAAAAAACATGATGTCCTTTACACAAAAAACATCAGGCCCCAATGGTGTAGATAGTCTATATATATAATTATAGATATGTATATATATATATATATGTAAGTTGTTGATGGAATTGGGTTTACCACATCACCAATAGAAAAAAAAAGGGCACATCCAGGCATCTAATCCTTTGAGGAGTTGATTTTCCACGTGCTCCGCAGAGGCCGCCCCCAACTTCGTTGGAAGCCTTTCCTCACCCACGGACCAATTCTCCGGGTCAGAGGCCATGCTCGAGTTGAGAGGAAGCAGCAACGGAAGCACATCCGAGATCCCAAGGTCCCCCGGGTTGTAAGAGTTCAACATTGACAGTTCAGTGATGATCGTCAGGAATGAAAAAACAGGACATTGGAACCAACAAATGAGTTGAAAGTGACAAGTCAGACCTTTTCTGCCGCCATTTTTTGCCTCGAAACACGTTCTGCACAGAAAAGTTGTGGATTCCTTTGGATTAGCCTCGGGGAATCCTACTTCTTAATGGAAAATCCGAAAAATCGTAGATATATTGGTAGATGAGAAAAAATCATAGTAATAAAGGTACATGATTTGCCTCTTGAAGTAATGTTCCATAATTTTCTACAACCAGAGGGTATGCCTTTGTTTGTTGATCATATCCAACAAGCATTCTTGTTGGGTAATCTATCGCGGCTTTCAGGTCCAATACTGCAGGGTAAACAAACGAATCCCTGGCTATCTTCATCCATATGTTGACAATAGGTTACCCCCAAAGTTTATCATCAGGTTCCCCCATGAAATGGGGACCAATTCTTTATATAGGACATTGGGGCGGCCATACCCCAGGTGTTTGTTTCTCAACTGGTTGGTGGTTTCAACCCATCTGCAAAACACTAGTCAGTTGGGATCATCATCCCATTTCTTCAGACAAATGTGTCGAACCACCAACCAGCACCAGTCAAGCATCCCCCATCACCAACAAGCCATGGCCCCCCATCGTGTTGTAGCGGCCTGGTGTGGGGTAGTGGCGTAATGCTCACCAAGCGCCTCGCGTTGTGATGTTGAGAGTTGGCGCCGGGTCACTTGCCGGGGTGAAATAGTGGTGTAAAAGGATATCTGTATAATCTAGCTTAAAGAAATTGTGAAAAAAACAACATATCATGTATGTATATATATATGTATGTATACATGTATATACATACAAAGTATACATTATATGATATGAATACCCCCAAAAATTGACCTGGTGGGGTTGCGGCTTCAGATTTTGTAGACACATTTCTGGAAAACACCAAAACGGCCTCTACAAAACCAAAAACATCTCACAAAATCTAAAGCATGGCCTTAATGTCCTGAAAACCCAAAACACTACAAAATCAAAAACATTGCTTAAGGTGTCCTCTAAAATGATCCCAAAAATGTCCCTCTACAAAATCAAAAACCTGCTTGGAGATGATTCAAGATACCCAACCATCTCCCACAAAAAAATGCTGTGTGCCAAACGTCAACGTGTTAGATGTTGTAGGGATTTTTTGTTGGAGGTATTGATATTATATGTATATGTTTATTTAAAGTAATTGAAAAAGAATGTGGACATGTTGATTTCACCCCCATGGCATGTCAAAGCCCTTCAACTATGGCGACATTTGTCGCCACGACTCTTGGTTACTGATGTGAATCTCGGACTTGGAGGAAAAATCTACCGGAAATCCCCAATTCTATTGGTAAAAAAAAAAACTATGGTTTTTACTCGGGAAACCATGGTTTTTACTAGGGAAACCATGGTTTTTACTAGGGAAACCATGGTTTCCGGTTTCAATTTTGGAAAACCCGGCCAATTGTTGTGAATCGTCGCCCAAACGATCCGGCTGTTAAGGCCCCGGGTCAAGACAATATTCACCGGGCAGAGTGATGGGGTTGTCCTACGGAGCATGCGTGGGTTACAATTACATTTGCAAAATGATAATTATGAAATATGAATTATGATAACAATATACGGTACGCTCATTTATTGATCTAATATGTATCTATGTATTTGATTGACCCTAACTACTTGTCTTTATCTCATGTTTAATACATTGTATAACGATATCATCAATCCTGTGGCCGAACATCCAAGTCAAAAAAATCGCCAGCCCAACCAAGATCACCCCGCCTGAAGCAAGGACAGCGCAGGAGGCAATTGAGAGTGCGACTTTGCACTCCCATGTCCATGCAGAGGTTGGTGAGCACTGCCACCTGAGATCGTCCCAACCAAAAAAGGGACGAAGAAACCAAGCGGGTGAGACCGGAGTGCTGAAGGTGGTTTAATCTGTTGAATGTTTGGCTAATTGGATGTAATGGATCATTGGATGAATTCGACAAAAAAGAACCAGCGGTTGTAGGGGGCCAAGGATGCGAGCAGCAAGGTCAAACCCAACAGCCATGTCCCAAAACAGTTGCGAAACAAACGAGAGAAGCCGGCAGAAGGGATAAATCAAGAAAGAAAACGTGTGGCTCATTCCAATAGGAAAGCATTGGTCGCTAAATCAAAAAAAAATGTTGGTCGACACCCTAAGCATTCTTATCAACTTGCACCAATGTTGGCGAAAATCTCGAGTGGTTTTGTTGGCAAAATATCCCCATGTTTGTTGTTTGGCGACAGATCTGCAAGTCTGCTCGTTCATATCCATGAAATATGACCAAAAAAAACATTTCTAGTTGTATATCCCCTGATATCCCCACCAATACATCCCATTTTCCACCCATCATTTTCCCTGCTTTTGGCACTGCCAAGAGGCTGTTGGGTCCAGGTAACGGTACCTGCGGCAGCCCAACAATAGATGTACTCTAGCCAGCCAGCAGTTAGAAGATCAGGATATACTTGAGAAAAAACAAAGACACGGTACAACAACGTAAATTGGACAAATCAAACAGCAAAAACCAAATGGAAGACAATGCTGTGTAATTACATCGTATGGCCATGTTGAGCTGTTTGGGGGGTTGCAGGCCTCAAAATTCAAGATAAACTAAGCAGGCGACAAGTCTTCATGGTTCAGGAATTCAAAAAACCCGGCAGCGTTAGGGAAGCCTTTGCTTGTCCTCGGGACTTTTCAAATGTTGCAAGTGCAAGGTCTCTTCCATAGTGGTGGGACCATGACCCTGGCTGCAGGAAATGTATCATTTCCACCCTCCAAATCCCCACGATTCGCTCCAGTAAAACTGAATCATTCAACTCTTGACCAAGCCCAACTGGGAATGCAAGCCATCGCATCTGGTGATTGTGAACGCCACCGGATGTTGTAAATCCAATGGCCCCCGCCTACTGATGTCGGCCAACCTCAATGGCCCGCTGCTTTCGATTCCGTCGCAGGAACCAGGATGAAACATGGCAAAACGCACAGGAACCCATGGTTTTTTGATGTTTTTTTGGTTTCCTTGTTCTTTTTTTCGGGCTGCGTCTGGACCTCCATTTGGGCACTGGTCGATAAGGTGTGTATCATTTTGAGCCATTCCTCGAATTTTGGAGAGTTTATCCCAACCATTTCTGTTGAAGTTGGAGGTGACTTATCGCGTTGGCTTCACCAGAGAAACGTCAAAATCTGCAGGTTACAACTGGTCTGCAATGTTGTTACCCTGGTAAACTAACATAATGGTCATTTATAGTTGATTATTTACCTTAAAATTTTGTGTTTTTCTGGTGATTTTCCATAGTTTTTTGTATGTTTACCAGAGGGTATTTACTATGAAGAACCATCTTTGATGAAACATGGGTATGGGTCAAGTCATTAGGTACCCCAAAATTATGGATGGTGAATACTAAACTAGACTAGACATTCACATCTGTGGTCCCATTAATGGTCTTCCATTTTGACCCACATCCACATTGAAGAAAATTGGAATCCCAATGGCCACTGTCCAACATCACACTGCGGATTTTTGTTGGCCCAGGATCCCTAGACGCTGCCCATGGGTCATGGTCCCTATCCCATCCCTCGATGTTGTTTAATATGTGTATCTAATTAATATATTATATATATTATATATATATATTTTATATATATATATATTATAAATATATATATATATCACATGTATTTAAAAAAAAAGGATCGTATCATCTTTTCAAAAGCATTCAACAGTCCGAAGCGTTCTTTTGGCCAAGCGGCTGAAACCTGCACTCCGTCGCTTTCTCATTGTTCTCGTCGCTCTTCCGGTGCTTGCCCTCGAGTTCCTGCGCCCGTCAGGCTTGACATCCCCCCAAACGAATCCCCCCGAATCACGAGATCAACTGAGATCAACCCCAACTTATTGTTGGTCGCAGCTTCACATGTCCAAAAAAAAAATCTTCCCAGACAATGGCCAAACTCCATGTCCTGAAAACAAATCAAACCGGCAAAAAAAGTGCCGGTCCCGTTTCCGCGGCGCCAGCCCCATGATTGTAGCCGACTTATCAGTGCGGAGCACAACCGACAGCAGATTCCGCCAAACCCAGAGATTGAAAAACCCAAGAGGCACTGCTGTTGGGAATTCGCCGACCATCTGGGATGAAAATGGACCCAGCGTCTTCTTGGATCCCAATTTGAGGAAACCACCATATTCATGTATACCATATGGCTAATTTCCTTCATTTCCTTAATCACAAGCACAAGACTCACAAGACAGTGGAAGAATTGATTCAGAATACATTTTTTAGTTTAATATCTATTACAAACACTATATTCCTATGTATGCAAATACCATGTTTCCCCGGAAACTGGGACGTCCCGAACCCCGAAACCATCGGGTTTCCAAACCTCCAAAGAGCTCCGAGCATGCTCAGCCAGCAGGAAACGGCGCTGTCCGACCTGCGCGACTTCTTTTTGGGGGGGCCCTGGGGATTTGTTTATTATCCAAAGTATGATCCTGAAAACTAATCCAACATCAATGAGTCTATAAGTTATGATTCTTGGAAAATCAGCATCAATGGATTTATAACATAAAGTTATCCAAAGGGAAATCCAGAGATTGTCTCGAAGCAATTTCTTCACGTGGAGAAATTGAACCTGGCACCGATAGTCAGCCCTGCCAGGCAGTCAACATGGATGGTGCAGTTTCTGAATTCTGAATTTGATGCATTGTCATCAATAGTAGCAGGAAATAGTACCCTCTGGTAAACTAACATAACTATGGGAAATCACCATGTTTCATGGGAAAATCCACTATAAATGGTGATTTTCCATCGTTATGTTAGTTTACCAGAGGGTAATTCATGGTGCAAACCCAATAATAGATCATCCTCAATTGAGGTTTACGAAATTGGGTACGTCCATTTGGGATGATGCTTTATCATGATCATGAGCCGCAAAATGATTACTGGGGTGGCTTATGGCATTGGATTTGTAGATGGTTCTAGTACTGTAAATATTGTATAAAATAATATCTATTAAATCGATAAAATATCTATTAGGTGTTGGTTTACTATGTTAAACTATACATAAACCAATACAAATTAAGGTTAAACTAAACCATTATGGAGGTGTTGTACATTTATTAAGGTTCAACTGCTATCGAACACTAAGGTTAAACTGTTTTAAAAACCCTGTATATGGAGGTTTCCAATCCATGAAGGATACCCGTCATCGTCATCTATTTTTCTAGGATTTTCCAGATTTCATAAACTAAATAAACCATCCATTTGGGGTACCCCCATGACTATGGAAAGCCCTATATTAATACGTGTGCTTTCCAAATTTCTTGGGGAAATTGTCCCCTTCGTCGTGCCTCCAGCCCCACAGAGCGTTGGGCCGTGCCCCTCAAGGCGACGTAGAGCACTAACCTCGACCACTTAACGCGACGTGTCAAACAGCCATCCCTCTATCATTCCATGAGAAATCCTGGTTGGTAACGGGATTCCCATGGATTCCCCATTCTTGGATTAAAAATTAATCCGTAATATATGAAGGGTAGTATACCCTCTGGTAAACTAACATAACTATGGAAAATCACCATTTTTAATGGGAAAACTCACTATAAATGGCCATTTTCAATAGCTATGTTAAATTACCAGAGGGTATAATCCTCGAACTAATCATCAACCCTGGGGTTTTTTTTGGAAGGCCCCAGGTGGAGCCATCCTGCAGTAAATCCTGGGATTCTCATGGAACCATCTACCGAACATCTAGCAACTAGGGGGGAGTATAGTGGCACAACTGGAGGATTTTGCTTTGAGAAACACCACAGAAAGTTGGTCCAAACCCCGAGATTCCGAAGTTGGTAAAGTCCTACTAGGCATCTTAGTGATGATTTACCCACCTAGGCATCGTTTTTTTGGGATTTCTGTCTATTTTCTCCAGCAAACTCCCACGAATCGGAAAACAAAATCACCCATCGGACCTGGACCTGGCCAAGCTGGGGGTAGGATGTACGGCGGGGTTGTATCCATTGCTGTCGTGTGTATGTTGGTTTGTAAGGCAGAACGTGTGTAGGTCATATGCATCTATGTATGTGTGTAATGTAATGTAATGTAATTTAATGTAATGTAATGTAAGTATGTATGTATGCATGCATGCATGTATGTATGTATATAGTGTGTATGTGTATATATATATAGCCATTTCGTTTGGTAAAACCCCAAGTCGGGTTGATTGAGGGATTGGAAAAAAAAACAAAAGGTTAGCATTCCGGCAGATCCCCAGTCAGATCCCAGGACATCTCCCCAGTGTCCGCAGGTCAGAGCTTACAGCCCAGAGTTAACCCTTGATTCAAACCTCCCTTGCTGTGTCACCTTTGAAAGAAGTTATCCCATGAAAAATTGGTATCCCAGTATATTTGCATGATTCTTAAGTTAGGTCACAATTTAAAATCATAGGCATTTGGTCGTCTTATTCAAGCCCATATACATCATGTTGGTAGCTTACAATCCCCTGTACACTCTGGTTATTGAACATAGCTATGGAAAACGGCCCATAGAAACAGATGGTTTATGGGATGACTGTTACCTCTAAAAAGTGGTGATATCCATAGCAACGTAACAAATTACCATTTCGGGTATATCTGATAGTATATGCCCATACATCTCTTCATACCTAGTTGGTTAATACCATCAGCTATCCCATTCAACTACCATTAAATCACCATCAAATCACCATTAAATCCGTGTTGAATCTCTATTGAATCGCATTAAATCCCATTAAATCCCATTAAATCCCCATTAAATCACCATTGAATCCCCAAAGATCCACCATCCCTCCTAATCGCAGCAGGGCGCTTCCCCACGCCACAGCCCAGGTCGTAGAAGACGTCCTCCTTCTTCAGTTCCAAGGCTTCGTAGAGCCGCTCCATGCCGCCGTAGGTGACCTCGCCATACCTTGCTTGGAGCAGAAGGGCCGATGGGCGAGCTTGGAGGGTGAGATTCTGGAATTGGCATGTTGTCCTTTTATAGATTTTGTAGATACTCTCCAGTAAATCAACATAGACCCTGCCAGATAGGGGTTGGAAGATTAGTTTCCGTTACAAATTGGTGATTCTCAGGGTCTATGTCTATTTACCAGAGGGTAAGATAAGATGTGATATGATCTTCTATCATATATACTATATCATGTTGTATTGTAGTGTAAATAACTATCATAATAACATCATGTAGCATAGATGTAGTTATATTACCCACAGACCCCGCGTGTTGCCCAGACATAAACCCCACCCCCCACTGTGAACAACATGATCCATGGATTATGAACATGAGCTTATCTTCATAAGGGATCACAATCCGCCACCCCCTTTGAACAATATGTTGAATGAGTTACCAGCCTCAACTTATCTTTAAGAGGAATCGAAATCCGCCACCCCCTCTGAACAATATAATGAATGAGTTATTAACATCAACTTATCAGCGTAAGGAATCAGGCCGCCGCAACCTCTCTGAACAATATGATCCATGGGTTATTAACATGAGCTTATCTTCATAAGGGATTGAAATCCGCCACCCCCTGAGAACAATATGATGAACATCAACTTATCTTAAGGAATCAAAATCCGCCACCCCCTTTGAACAGTGTAAGGCATGGATTATTAATATGAACTTACCTTCATCCAGGGATCAAAATCCGCCACCCAGTTTCAACCTGCGGGCAACACGCAGGGTCTGGCCGTAATATTACCGATCAAAAAAAAGTGCTTCTATATTCTATAGCTACAGAAACAGATATACCATGATATACCCTGCAAAGAATGATGGATCCCATCTCCACGCAAGGGGCTGCAGGTTCGCACGGTCGATGTTCTCTTCGGTACTATCCGTGCCAAAGCCGGAGCTGTGTTTGGCAAAAACCTTCCCCGTGGCAGCACTGGGGGGCGGGAAAAAACTGATGGTGCAAGTAAAAAAGGAGAAAAAAACAACTTGGATGGCTAGGAAAAGATTTGGGTATTTCGCAGTTTTTCGGAAGACTGTTCCCAGTTCCAGTTCGGAGACTTTTCACAGTTCGGAAAACTGGATGCTTCAATGCCCAAAAAAATGAAAAATCGTGACCCAGTTCCTGGTTTTTCGATGGGCTCTCAAAACTTGACCCAGCGGGCTCCCCAATGGCGCCGTCTTTCCCATGAAATACTGCTTGGTGAATAGGTCTCCCAAGGTTGGGGTTATCATAATCCCCCCCATCAATGAGGTAAACCCTTGCAAAGCCTTAGAATAATCCATTGACAGTGGTGTTTATTTTTTGGCCCAAGTGAGCTCATGAAATTCAGCCTCTGGAATCGCCCAATGCCCCCGGTGTTTTTTTCCACAGGGGCCTTCTGTAAGCATGTCACTGCATCTTCATGACTCGCTCCAGGTGGTATGGAAGATTTGGGCATTGCGTGGGAAGCCACCATTCGGCGGCCCACGGCACTAAGTCGAAGATGGCACGTAGAAATCGTTGATAAACTGTGATCCCTTGACTCATCTGAAATTTGCGGAGATCAGCATGGTTTTGGATGCCTTTAGGATAGAGTCAAGCAACTTCTGTAGTGTTTCAACCATCCGTGTATGAGTTAGTTGTAGAAAGTCCTTGACTTGACTTTTTTCGCCACAATTCGTGTCTAAATCATCAATGGCTCATGCTAAAATTGATCAGAGGGTCATCACATCAATCAAGATCCCGACACGTATGGTGTGGGGCCCCATTTTTTGCATAGATCATTTCCATCTCTGGGTTTCTGAGGAGCCAAATTTGGGCAGTTTTGCAGCGAGAAAATGAACATCCCATGACACGTCAGCCGTCAACCACCGTGGTTACAAGTAGTACTTGCTTGTATATGGATGTATACGAATTGGAAAATACACAATTTGCTATGGAAGCCATGGCCATGCAAAGTTTGATCATTTACCTATGTTTTCATGATGATTTAAACCATAATTATGTAACAAATGACCAGAGGGTATATCCCTGGTATTCCCATGATATTCCAATTCTACCATGATATTCCCACTATACTGATTATACTCCCATTATATTACCATTCTATTCCCACTATATCCGCAATATTCTTATGATTTATAGATGATTTTCCTATGAATTCCTCATACTTTGGGGCCATTCAAAACTACGAATGCTTTCATCCCGGTACCAGGCCAGGGATTTCTTCGAGCCTTAAAATTTCCGAAGGGGTGTCATTAAACATGGCTGGAGACATCTCCACTGAAATATGTGAAATGCATTTTAAAAAAATATGGGGGAAAATCTGAGAACAACATTGTTTTTAAATCATCTATATCCCAATAAATATAGAGGCATTAATGGGAAAATCATCTATATCCCATAAATATAGAGGCATTATAATGGGAAAATCATCTATATCCCATAAATATAGAGGCATTAATGGGAAAATCATCTATATCCCATAAATATAGAGGCATCAATGGGAAAATCACCTATATCCCATAAATATAGAGGCATTAATGGGAAAATCATCTATATCCCTTAAATATAGAGGCATTAATGGGAAAATCATCGATATCCCATAAATAGAGAGGCATTAATGGGAAAATCATCTATATCCCATAAATATAGAGGCATTAATGGGAAAATCATCTACATCCCATAAATATAGAGGCATTAATGGGAAAATCATCTATATCCCATAAATATAGAGGCATTAATGGGAAAATCACCTATATCCCATAAATATAGAGGCATTAATGGGAAAATCATGTATATCCCATAAATATAGAGGCATTGGAAAATCATCTATATCCTATAAATATAGAGGCATTAATGGGAAAATCATCTATATCCCATAAATATAGAGGCATTAATGGGAAAATCATCTATATCCCATAAATATAGAGGCATCAATGGGAAAATCATCTATACCCCATAAATATAGAGGCATCAATGGGAAAATCATCTATATCCCATAAATATAGAGGCATTAATGGGAAAATCATCTATATCCCATAAATATAGAGGCATTGGAAAATCATCTATATCCCACAAATATAGAGGCATTAATGGGAAAATCATCTATATCCCATAAATATAGAGGCATTAATGGGAAAATCATCTATATCCCATAAATATAGAGGCATTAATGGGAAAATCACCTATATCCCATAAATATAGAGGCATCAATGGGAAAATCATCTATACCCCATAAATATAGAGGCATTAATGGGAAAATCATCTATATCCCATAAATATAGAGGCATTAATGGGAAAATCATCTATATCCCATAAATATAGAGGCATTGGAAAATCATCTATATCCCACAAATATAGAGGCATTAATGGGAAAATCATCTATATCCCATAAATATAGAGGCATTAATGGGAAAATCATCCATATCCCTTAAATATAGAGGCATTAATGGGAAAATCATCTATATCCCATAAATATAGAGGCATTAATGGGAAAATCATCTATATCCCGTAAATATAGAGAGGTATTAATGAGAAAATCATCTATATCCCATAAATATAGAGGCATTAATGGGAAAATCATCTATATCCCATAAATATAGAGGCATTAATGGGAAAATCACCTATATCCCATAAATATAGAGGTATTAATGGGAAAATCATCCATATCCCTTAAATATAGAGGCATTAATGGGAAAATCATCTATATCCCATAAATATAGAGGCATTAATGGGAAAATCATCTATATCCCATAAATATAGAGGCATTAATGGGAAAATCATCTATATCCCATAAATATAGAGGCATTAATGGGAAAATCATCTATATCCCATAAATATAGAGGCATTAATGGGAAAATCATCCATATCCCTTAAATATAGAGGCATTAATGGGAAAATCATCTATATCCCATAAATATAGAGGCATTAATGGGAAAATCATCTATATCCCATAAATATAGAGGCATTAATGGGAAAATCATCCATATCCCTTAAATATAGAGGCATTAATGGGAAAATCATCTATATCCCATAAATATAGAGGCATTAATGGGAAAATCATCTATATCCCATAAATATAGAGGCATCAATGGGAAAATCATCTATATCCCATAAATATAGAGGCATTAATGGGAAAATCATCTATATCCCATAAATATAGAGGCATTAATGGGAAAATCATCTATAATTCAAGATTGTCGATTGCCATGTTCGATTCCCGGAGGGTATATTGGGTGTACAAACCCTGACTTTTGTGGGGGAATCACCATCTGGCCCTATGGCCAACTTGCTGTGCACCCAATCCTTATCTTCCCACTGGGGAAGCGGCTCCCTCCTAACCACCTGGTGACTAGATCACCGTCACTACCCTCTGGTAAACTAGCAGCTTGCTATTGAAAATGGCCATTGAAATAGTGAGTTTTCCCATTAATAGCATGGTGATTTTCCATAGTTATGTTAAATTACCAGAGGGTATTGGGTGCTCATCTTAACTCAACATTCGACGCCAAAGATGGGACCTCTTCATTTCCTCAGCGGCGCCATGAGCCTGTTCGCTTTGTGACAAACCGAGGTGGGATCTCCCACCAGTCACTTTCCGTCGGTTTTTTTCCGTCGTATCAGCAGTCGATTCAGCAAGCAATAACGGGTATACCAAGGGGATTTCAGCAGCAAAAATAGGGATTGAACTGAAGATTCATTGCAAGATAGCTTGGGGAATTCAACTTGGGATGATTATACTGTGATCATTGGGATGATGATTGGGATGTGATTCTTGTGGGTGAATCATCCGTGCCCCCTATCATGTCATATGGAATACCCCAATCAAAACCCTGGTGGACTGACTTTGATGTATTCACTTTGGGGTCTCCATTCGGTGGGCGTACATACGTATATCAACATCATTCTAAAAATCCTGGGGGATCTTCATCCTCAAAAATATCTCTGGATTTCACCTATTTTAAGTCATAAGTACATAAGTCCAATTGAGAGAGCTGGTGAATTGGTGTTCACATGAGAATCGCTGGAATTTCTCGGCTGGTGATCCTGTGGCCAGCAGTGGCTTTCAAATGATGAGGCTACCCGGCCTGGTAAACGTTAACAAAAAGCGACATAGAAAATGGCCCGAAATAGTGGATTTACCCATTGATAGCATGGCGATTTTCCAGTTCGTTACGTGAGTTTACCAGAGGCTATAGTTTTTTGGCTGATGCTCTTGGAGATACAGTTTTTGATACTTTTAGATGTGTGTGTGTGCCCTTTGGTCATCAAACACGGCTAGCTGGGAAATCCCCTAGAAGTGCAGGAATTTATAGCTAGGAAAAACACCCGAATCAATTGGGGAATGTCCATTGCCCATTTGATTACCAAGGATACTTTTTTGCGCTTAGATCCTTCAATATCACCTTCTGGTTATTTTAACATAGCTCTGGAAAATGGCCCATTTAGTTCGATGATGTATCATGATTTACCCCTTGCAAATAGTGATTCTGCAGTTCGCTACAAATGTCCAGAGGCCAACTACTATAACCTTAACCCGTCAATTGTAGTTTCTTGGTTAATAAACCTCATTGAGTAACTATAGTCATACATACCATAAACCCACAAGTTAACCTTGGGTTAACTATAGTTCACCGAGCAACTATAATAAAAACTATAGTTGACTTAAAACTATAGGAACTATAAAAGACTATAGTCAAAATTCATTAACTTTAGTTTACTTCTATATATTCCATATTCAACATAGTTATTCAACTTATATATTAATATCAACTATTGTTCAACTTATAGATAGTGGCGCCATGATTGTCTTCCTATATATCAATATTGCTTAATGATTGTCTTCTTATCAATTACCCTCTGGTAAACTGTCCCATAACTATGGAAAATCACCATGCTATCAATGGGTAAATCCACTATAATTGGTCATGTTCAATGGCTATGTTAAATTACCAGAGGTTAATTACTGTCAACCCCGGATTAATCAAAGCATGGTTAATTAACTATGGGGGTTACCCTCCAACCCCCAAGGATCAACGGCCAGGGTATGTTAAATTACCAAAGGTTAAGTTAATATTCCTCATTCTTCAACACTTAAAACCAAGTAGCACCAGGCCCTCGCCTGCGCCAGTTGCAGCCGCAACTCGGAGAAATCTGTGGCCCCCGAGGCACCCACCTTACCGGAGATCGATATCAGGCACCTGGGTTTGTTATAATATAAATATATCTGGGATATAATAATAGGAGGGCTTTTGTATGGAATTTATATGTGATATATATATATACATAATATCTTGTTATAATGGGTAAATTATAGATACAGTACCATAATAATGGATATAGTTATAATGTATAGTCAATTATAATCCATTAACTATAGATATATTATAGAATATATCTGGGTAAATTATAATATTTCACTAACCTGAATTAAGGCCACCGATCTTCACTTTGGCCATTTGGGGATGATTTCCCTGAAATAAACCATGATTCCAGTGAGGGAGAACAGTGAGGTCGTGATGAAATTTACCCAGATATATATATATATCACTGGTATATATTAAACCCACAATAAGTACTATTATATCATGTCAACCCGGATTAATAAACCATAGTTTATTAATTAGGGTGGTACTCCTCCAATAGTCATAATCCAATACTTAAATGGTACCGCCCAATTAAACAGCCTAAGGGTTTATTAATCCAGGTTGACATTGTATATTAGTACTTATTGTGGGTGTTATCAATGTTAAACTATCACTCGAATATATAAAACCCACCAATAAGTACTATGAATGTTAACTTGGTAACATTGGTGATGTGGGTTATATCTAAAACCCGAAAAAGAGTGGTTATCCCCTTTGTGGGTTTTTTTTTTTCGATTTATATAGTGGGTGTTATAATAAAGGCGTATCACCAGTGTTAATGTTAAATTATCACTGGTTGTTATATATATATATATACATATGGTACCCCCCAAGATCCACCTTTCATGTCATGTTCATGGTATTTACAGTGTTTTCTGCTCATTTTGGGGTATTGATTTCGAAGCATTATTTTAAAACATGTTATATGGCCTTTGATGCAAGGGGGGTACCACATGTGTATATATATATATACATATACATATGTGAATGTTGGTTTTAGGACTTAATGTATGTAAGTCTTGATACGGAATACCCGTACGCTAAGCCAACCTACCCCGGTTGAATCTAAGAATCCTTCTGAATCCAAGATTTTGCATCAAAGATTCCACCAAAGAGTCCTGTGAAAATCGTGGATTCAGAAGGATTCTTAGATTCAAGGGGTAGGTGGTACGCGTACATACGCATATCTGTCTAAGTTTGACGCCTCTACATGCAAAGAGTCTCAACTTTCAGTCTTTTCCCCAAACCTGAAGAAGGCAGTGAAAACATTGTAAATTACTTTGCCACAAAAGACGATCAAACATGAATCGTTCTTTTCAAGAAGTAATTCTAGTTGACAAGTGCAGACACGTTCATTCATAAGATATAGCATTGGCTAAGCAAAAAAGATTATTCCTACTATGTAAATATGCATTGCTTAGTTTGAAACATGAGCACAGACCCATTTCATAATGTACTTGGTACAACACTTCTGGAAGGAAGAAACATGGTACACAAAAAGTCCCTGCAACAGGCATCTTTCAATCAAATGCAGTATCTCTTCAAACAAGAAACTATTTTCAAAAATGTAGCCATTACTTTGAAGAACATGTATGTCTTTCTTCAAGCAACACTATATTTATTGGGAAATTAGATGGATTTTTGAAGAACATGCTGCAAATGCGGCACAAATACTGCTATATTGTGCTTTCTAGAGTCAGTATGCAATCATTTTTTGATAGCAATAGTGCATGCTTGGAATATAAAAATGTGAGCCGTCTTTTTGTTTAAACTTTTTGTTTAAACAAAAAGCCTCACAAATGCTACCTCTGCGAAATTAACATTGCCCCTTCTGAAGAAAAGTGACTTAGTCTATGCAGTATTCCTTGATAACAGTATATAATATATGTGGAAAAGAGTTGTAGTGTAGCATTACTTTTTTGCAATGTTCCATTGTCAAGAGTGATTCATTCCTTAAACATGTGGGGCATTCCTTGAAGAAAATGCGACATTGTTTTTGCATAGAATGCCTCAATGGATGCAGCAGTACTTAAAATGGATGCAGCACTCCGTATTCTGAAAGAGGTGTAGAATCGTAGCATCACTTTTTGCAAAAGTTCATTGAGTAGAGTAACACATTTCTGGAAAATAGAGGGTGTCGTATTCCTTGAGAAAGGAAACCTTTGAGTACTCATTTTAGACAATGATTATGGTATTCCTTCAAGAAAATGTTGGTGCAAGTATGTGAAAAGCCTCCTTCACAAGGGAGTGAACCATTTGATTGAAATTCATGTAGTAATACAAAGAAAAGCATTACTATGAAGTAGAACCCTTGGGTGTATGTAGTATTTTTGAAAGAAACAGGTCATGGTTGTATGTGTGCAATATACCCTTCCATATGAATGAAACATCTGAACAAAACAGGCATCATTATTTTGAAGAAGTTACGTTTTTTCCTTTCAAAGCAAATGTCATAGTCATACAAAGAATTGAGAGGGATTCTGAACTTTATTAAAAGGCGTAGTTCATCTTTCCACATATTGTATGTTTCTGCAAGAATACTGCTTCTTACTTAAGGGAAGACCTTGTCTTCAGGGCAATTGATTTGAAGAAGTGAAGTCTTTCCTGAAGAAATGGTCATACAAGAAACCCAATAGGAAGGCTGAGCTTCATTAAAGGTTGTATTGCATTTTTCCACATATTGTATGGTTCTGCAGGAATACTACTTCTTACTTGAGGAAATATCATCAAGGCAGATTGTAACCTGCAAGCAGCATGTTCCTTTAACAACAATCTGTTTTTTTCCAGGAATGAAGCAATTTGCATCGACCATTGCACTTTTAGACAGCAATACTGAATGTTTTTTTCGCACACTGCACATTGTGTAGAAATCTGGTGTATGATTGAAGGAAGGCTTTACCCTCTGGTAAACTAACATAACTATGGAAAATCACCATTTTTCATGGGAAAATCCACTATAAATGGTCATTTTCAATAGCTACGTTAAATTACCAGAGGGTAATATCATTCTGAAAAGAAGCGTTTTTTTCCAAACGAAGGTTCCTTGACACATCAATAACCCACACAGGTGGATCTTGGGGGGTCTAGCATACATACATATATATATACATACATACACATATAACCGAAAAATAAGAATAATTAAGTACCACCATGTATATAATGATACTGATACATTAATATGAGTTATGATAGCAATAATAATCATAATAGTTACAATGATAATCATCATAATAGGTTTAATAGGGATAGTCATAGCAAAAATAAAATAGTGGGTATATAATTGAATAATATTGGAGGTAATGGGATTTGGCAATCCCTATGAGTGATTATGAATAGCTAAGTCCATGGGAATTCGAATCTACAGCGATATGATCAGATAAATGTTGAGTTCAAGGTTCCATTATGTGCCACGTTGACTCTACAAACGCTCTATTTGTTTATCCAACGAAGTTTACTGGCGCTATCAACTCACCTAGATATTTCTGGGTTAAAATGGGGTTTTTCATGGCACAATTTCTAGGCTGTAGCCTTGGGATGTCCTGGGCAAATCTGAACCACCAGCAACCTCTCCCGGATGCTGAAAGATTGGACACCTGGAAAATTCATGGGAAAAATGTCCCGTCATAAACCGACGTGCTGACCATGACGGGGAAACACCGAAATCTTCTACCTGGATTTGGGGGTGCTAGAACTCAAATGATCAGCCCAAAAGTTTGGAAAGATCGTTGAAGTGATGTCCAGGCGGAGATGCCGGGCCGCAGGAGGGACTAACAAACATACGAAACCATGTGAGCACGGGCCGAAGAAGCTGCCATTTTTTCTGGATTTCGGGATGTTACCCCCCAAAAATCAGAAACTCAGATTCTTCCAGTGAAATCGCCCAAATCTGGGTCCAGTTATGTCGTGCCTGGGCATGATGCAACTGCGTCTGTAGCACTGCCAAGTCGATCTCCAACCTCCAAATGTCAGGGGACATCTGGCCCATCGAAGACCCCTCCAGAAAACATGGTTCCATGGTTTCATCCTAGATGTATAAACCTGCATCTTGGAGTTTGATGGTCCTGGCATGTTTGAAACAGACGTGCATACCCCGTGGTTGAGCTGCCTCGGCAGCATAGCATATGTATGTTGTTTGCATGTGACATATTAAAGGCAACCCTCATTCGTAACAGTTCATGTTTATACTTCATTGAATATCCGTGTGGTATGTACATCCATGCATCTGCTGCTCTCTCGATGTGTATATATATACACATCAAGATCTATGTATCTATGTACATGTATGCACTTAAACACTTGACATGTATATGTCTTGGAACACCACACCTGGTCTTTATGTTAGGTTTGGTAAAACCAACATGTTGTGTATCGCTTCCTGCTGATCTCACTCGGAGGATAGAGACATGACCCCAGCGGCCTGCCCAGGACTGTAGGACTGTTCATCGATTGCGTGTTTTGCCCTCCATCTCTATACCATCTGGTTATGACATTCACAGTTTGCCATGGAAAGAACCACCATTTTTTAGAACGGTAAACCCTCTATTTCGATTAGGGCCATCGAAAAACCATGGCTATGTAACAAATAACATCAAATAACCAGATGGTACGTATATTCATACATCATATCATTCGTCTCCGGATGTTTTGCATGTCATACTACAATGGTCTGTTGATGTCTGCTGGTTCCTTTTTTTGTCGTATGGAGATTTCCCAAAATCGGGGGACCCCCAAATCATCCAAGTTTGTTTCATTTTAGTATTCACATGGATGTGGGTCAAAACCTTGTACCCCTGGTGAACATCAAGATAGCTGGTAAATGGATGTTCATTCCCCTAAAAATGGCATTTATAGGTATTGATCCATGGCCACATGGTGACTGGGGGATCCAGCATTTTTAGCAAAGCCCATATCATCATCTTCTCTTCAGAATTAACTATTGATTAGCCATCCACAATCATCCCATTCCCCCATTCCCCACGTTCAGCACTAGTGAGAAATTTCACATATCATATTTTATCATAGATCCGATTTTGTTGTACAATGATCATTATATTCTTCTTGTTGCTATTTTCGTTCCCCATGGATCTCTGGATCTTGTTAGCCAGTATATTTATATATATATATATTGTTAACTAGTAACTAATATATATCGTATGATTGTTCTTATGGCTAAATATGCTATATTGAACTCGAAATGGCGGTCTCCAATCCATGGTGGTACCCTCAAATCATGCATTTTAGTGGGATTGTCCATGAAGTAAACCATCCAGTTTTGGATACCCACATTTATGGACCATGTGAAATAATATTTATTATTGATAAATCATTGCTTATCTAGCATACATATTAATTGCCAAATATGATTGTTCTTATGCCTAAATATGGCTATAACATGCTAAAACTATATATCAAATATGCCATAAACCAAATAGTTTCAATATAGTCAGTATGCCATACAACCAAATATTTATCAATAATGATATGGCTAAATGTGTATATATATATATATGCTATATTATGTGGTGTCTAAACACCGAGGCACTGCTGCTTGTCACGTTGCAACGCTCCTTCCGAGAGACGCACCTGGGCTCGCTCCGGCGACGGCGCGAGCCGGTGCAGCTGGAATTTCTCGCCACGGTGAAAGATGGGAAAACATGAGAAAATCAAGGAAAATGATGGGAAAATGATGGATCAAAAAAACGACGAAGGTTAGTTCGCTGGGAAAAGCATTGAAGCAAATGGGCGATCTTCCAGCCACGATTGAGGGTAAGTCACAATTCATCCCCTACTCAGCATTCCAGTGACGTGAAATTCTCCAAAAAGGGTTGGTTAAGCAACATCTGAGTGACTCTTGAGCACAATGGCTGACATACATCGTCACAAATTTACACCATGTGTTTATGATAGGACTTTAAATGAATGACCCCAATCTCATGACGTTTACTTTGCAAATTGCTGTGGCCCCAACCCCAGGGTCCACGTTAAATTCAAACCATGAAGCCTACAAGATTGAGGTTCTTGCCAAAAGAAAGGATGAAAGGTGCTATAAGTCCCAAAAATTGCTGTAATCACCAAGAACAGAGGATATTTCCTCTGGTAGTCTAAAGTTGCAATGAAAATCCCCGTGTTGAAAAGGCAAATCAGCGACACTTACAGTATATACACTCCTGACGGATTCTCCAGCCAGATATGTTTGAGTACAAGAGGGTACAGGGAATGACAGAAATCAAGCGGAATGTCACCACAGGAACTTCCAGAACTTTCCGGTCTTTCCCTTCTAAAGGCAGACCATGTTTGAAAAGACCCGCATTTTCCTATACTGGGATGAACCTTCACATCGAAAGTCTTTCTGAAAAGGCTCGGTTTATCTCGACATGATTTGCGTGGGATATCTTGGGATATGTGGATCTTAATCCTGGACAGAAAAAATTCTCGCTCCTGGTTCCATTGTTCAACCTCAAACCTGGGATCGAAAGAGCTGAACAGTTCCTGTTCCATGTTTAAGATATTAAATACCATAAAATCCTCCGGCAAACTAACAGTTTGCGACATAGAAAATGGCAATTGAAATAGTTAATTAAACTGGTGATGTTCCATAGTTATGGGACAGTTTACCAGAGGCTAATCGTTATTAAGTTAATCCACGTCACATCCCAGTTCTTGACTTTGACTGATGGGATACCCATCCAATGGTATCATATGTTCATTGATAAAATTAAAGTGACCCTCCGGTAAATTTTCACATAGACCCTGGCAGTCATCGGGGTTGGAAGAATAGTTTCCATTAAAAATTGGTGATTACCAGTGGGTACCATTTGGATGATATAGCCCATGTTCAGAAAGACCTGAACATCCCATCATATCATTGGGCAGTATATTTGAAAAAAAAACGATTTCCATGAACCCATGGATTTACCCACTACAAAAACCATGGATTTTCCACTACAAAAACCCATGGAAAAATCAAAGATGAATTTACCCAGGGATTTTCCCACTACAAAAACTCGTTGATCAAATCCCCAACAGATTGGTTCACATCCCCATGACTTCCCACGTCATATCTGCTATGCGGGGTATATCCCATCACCAGGCTACCATAGATCAACTATAAATGCCCATGTGTGGTGTTTAAATCCCCATTTTTTTAGTGATTCAACATCCATTTAGGCAAAAAACATGTATTAAACCACAATATGAATCTTATGTAAACGTAAACCATATGAATTAAACATAATTAAACCACATATATCCTCTGGTAAACTGTCCCATAACTATGGAACATCACCATTTTTAAGTTCGCTAAATCAACTATTTCAATGCCCATTTTCGCTATTTTGACATCACCAGAGGGTAAAGCCCCCCATGTTTGGGGTACCATCAACCCATGGCTTTCTGTCCTCGCCTTCTGTCTTTGTCGCTCCAAGGCCGTTTCCAGGGACTTGATCTTGGCATCCTACAACGAAAATGTGGATCTCACCAAGAAAAATGTGAACTTACCCTCTGGTTATGACTAACATAGCGATGGAAGCCAAGAAAAACCATAGAAATAGATGATTTTCCATGATTTTCCCACTACTGCTAGAAACCTCCATATTTGTTTTGGGGTTTTCCATGGCTATCCATGGCTATGTTAGTCATAACCAGATGGTATATTAAACAACAACAATACGGATTTCACCAGCGAACATGTAGACCACTTTCTGAAATGGACCTATAAACGGTGGCTGATGAATTAGGTCTCCAGACCCAAAAAGGTGATGCTCACCATTAAAATGGAACCCCCCAATCGAATTCTTCAGGATTTTAAACATCCAGGCTTGACAGCAGTCACTGAGGAGTTTGTAGTTCAAACCTATTCAAGTGGCGAACCATCCCCAATGTTCCCCAAAAAGGTCCGTCCGCAGTGATGTTCATCCCCCATTGGGGTTTGTCCAAACAAGAGGAATACTGCACAGATACCCCCATAATAGCCATCTCAATGAAAATACGAATATGTCACTGAGGTTGAAATACCCGATTCTTAAAGTTTGGAGTACAATGTTTGATTTTCAACACTTCGAAATGCCCAATGTTTAGACCTTTAAGAAATCATGGTTCCGCCAGACGGGTCCTGCGCTTTGGTTTTTTCATTGTACCTGGTGACGAATCAAAAAGATTATCCCAATCTGCAGTTGATATGAATCCAAAAAAAATATACTGTACCAATAGAAAAGTGCAAAATCCCACCAAAATTCGTGGTTAAATGGACGGTTCCATCATTTTGGGTACTATGGTTACTATGTAGGCTCATGTAGACTCGATGTTCCTCAAAAAGAGTTCCATGTTCCACGTTTGGTGGTGAAATCCTGGCCGAAAGTGGGCTAGTCTCTAGTCTAAAATCCTGTGTTTTATACTTATCTTCACAATTCAAAGGCCAGAAATCTGGAGTGTAGCCCTATTTATCCAAGCAGATCAAGCAGATTGGGGATGATCCACCGGGAATTGGAATCATCTCCCAGGCGATCATCTTGGTTGTATATAACGGAAACCTAAAATAGATAAAAAAAATTGAACACCTGGAAATTCTGGGAAAAACCGAATCGATTTTGATCTTTTGGGGGGCTGTTGTATCCAATATATAATATATGCATCATTGAGGGATGGATGAGGGGGCCCAAAGACTGGGATATGGGATATATCATCCTCTGGTGATTTTACAAGACTATGGAAAGTCACCGTTTGATGCGCATATATATACCTGGAACCCGAAAGACCCTTGTTTTGAAGGTTTTGACCCATAAAATTGAAGGTTAACCATCCAAAAGAGGGGTCATTTGGGTTCCAGATATATATATATATATACATACATACATACATACATATATATATATATACATATATATATATTGTGATTTTGGCCACATGAGATCATCCATTTCATCAGTGCTGACTTCTTGGGACACCTGTGGACACCATTGGACTCATGCATTGACATGCATCTTCAATTCGCCGGTCTTGCCGTGCCACATGCATGGCTCTAGATCGAGGTGGGTGGGATCGGGATCTTGAGTGGAAAAGGAATCAGACTGGCTTGCGGATAGACAGGGTGTCTAGGTATAGGGCTGATATCCCCTATTGAATTCTCATTGGTAGCGGAGCTCAAGCTGCCGCAGGTAAAGCTCCAAATTCCCTAAGGTAGGCAGGGTGCCTTAAAAAGGGGTTTTGTGCATCAGGGTTCTTAGGACCTCTCTCAAATTCAAAATATTGCAAGTCCAATAAACTGCAACAGCTTAAAGGAGGTCAAACATTGACCATGTGAGCCATGGATGGAACCGGAAACGGTGCCGAGCCGGCCAGATCGGCTATACCTGCGGAAGCAGCGGGAACTAGCAGCCTTCCCGCGAGCCAGTTGCCGTGGCAGCAGATCCCCTCCTTCAATCCGCAGGAGACAGACATTCAGGTCTACAGCAGGAAACTGCAGTTTCTGAAGGCCATTTGGCCACCAGAACATGTGTCGCAATTGGCACCCAGAGCGGCCTTGCAGGTGGAAGGGGTGGCCTTTCAGAAAGTGGCTCGTCTTGACCCTCAGACTTTGCGGAGTGAAGGGGGAGTCCAATACCTGGTAGAGGCTTTGGGCGGCCAGTGGGGCAAATTAGCTAGTGAAGAGAAGCTGGCCTACTTCGAGAAGGCAATCTACCAGACAATCCAGCGAAGTGATGAAACGAATGACAGCTATCTGGCACGCCACGATGTGGCATTCGAAGATCTTGCATCTCACAAGGTGCCCATGGAGGAGATTCGAGCTTACGTGTTGCTGCGACAGTCACAGCTGAGCTCTGAGGACCGCAAACGCATCATCCTGGAGAACAAGGGTGACCTCTCCTATGAAAATGCTCGGAAAGCCCTTCGACTGTTGGGAGCCAAATTCTTCCAGGAGCTCCAAGGGGTGAAGCCGAACAAGAAGACCTATGACATCAACATCACCGACAGTGCCTCAGAAGAGACAGCAATGGTCCTCTCGGAGAACGATGGCCGCGATGAGGACACCGTCTTCCAAGTCATGTATGATGAGGGAGATGAGGATGCAATCTTCATCAACGACTTTGAGGAGACGCTCATCGAAGTTGCGCAGGAGTCTCCAGAGCTTGCAAGCTGTTATGCAACGTACCTTGAGGCCCGAACAAGACTCAGGGAACGAGCACGAATCAGGGGCTTCTGGCCGATGAGTGGTCCAGGTGCCGGCAAGGGCAAGGGGAAGAAAGGAAAGATGGGGTCCAAGGGCACCAAGTTCCGATCTTTAGCAGATCGAATTGCCTCATCAGCCTGCAGGAAATGTGGACAATTTGGGCATTGGAAGCGTGAGTGCCCCCTCAACCTCACCAAGGGGGACAACAAGGGCAAGGGCACCACGGAGACCATCTCCATCGCAGAGGCGCTCTTTGCTCATCCTGAAGACCTTGAGGATCAGATGCCTGCCATGGAGTTGATCGACGAGCTCCCAGAATCTGCCGAGGACCTAGGCACGTTAGGCCAAAACTCAGGGATTTTGACACCTCATGATGCCTCAGGGGTTTGTGGAGTTGAGGAGTGTTTCATGATTAACGGAGTTCAAAATTTTGAGGGGTCAAAATCAAATGATTTGGTAGTATCATCAGGGACCTTGACAAAGTTTAAGTCCACCAATCAAGTTTTCAAGGGGTTGCTTCAAAGTGCTTTATCAAAATGCTGTAGGAAGCATGGACATGCCGTGAAGTTGGCACCGACCGCAGAGCCCACTCGAACTTCAGAGCCAGAAGACTCCGAAGCCACCAGCCTGTTTTCTCCAGCCGTGATTTTAATGTCTGAAGAGTGTGCCGGAGAAGCCGTCATAGATACTGGTGCCAGTAGGTCAGTGATTGGCAGTGAGAGGGTCCAAGGCCTCCTAGAAGCTTTGTCTGGGAACATTAGAACCCCCATTAAGAGGATGGCTTCATCGGTCAATTTTCGATTCGGCAACAGTGGCACACTTCAGAGTATGTACGCACTGTGCATTCCACGGCACCAAAAGGGCTGGATCCGAGTGGAAGTTGTGCAGGGTCGCACCCCGTTCTTGGTATCTAATGCAATCATGAAAGAACTTGGAGTCATGATTGACCCACGAAACAAGGTATTGAGGTTCCTGGGAAATCCCAAAACAGTTGCCCTCAAAACTTGTAGGAAAAATCTGCTTTGCGTTGGGGTCATTGATTTGCTGAACATACCAAGTAATGAGACTGATTGGAAACATGTAGAAGAGATTTATCAACAAGAGGTCAACCACAAGGAAAAGGGAGACATGACAAATAAAAAAGTAGAACGGTCCAATATCCCACCTCGAACATGCATGTCCACTCAATCTCAATTCATTGTACAGGATCCACCTCATGTAGAGTCATGTCATACCGCAATTTCTGCAAAAGTACAGGCTCAAGTTGAGCTGCCATCTACACCATCTCCGACCGACCAGAGTGCGCAAAGCAATGGGAAGCTCAAAGGAGATGAAGTCCTCCTATCTGGTACAGGATCTGTCAGGGGACGAAGACCCAGGTCTCCAATCAGATCGAGTGTACATGGATGCACCCGATCGGCAGTACAAAGTCCCACCAGGGATCACGAATCTGCAGCAGTGGGGCGAGACCAAGATTCCCTCGGGAGTTCAACAGGGACAGACCTTTGCGGAGGTGTACAACAATCATCCCTGTTACATTTTCCAGATCCGAAACCGCAAAGCAGTGTCACCGTGGCTGAGGAATCTACAGAACTACGTGATTGCCCGGCAGAAGTACGAAACACTGAATCAGGTTCCCATTCTGCCATCATCGGCGGGATTGGGGCAGTCATCGAAGTCACCGACAACCACTCGACCTTCGGCACCTCAGGGAAAGACCGAGACAGGGTGGGAAGTGATCACCAAGACAGGAGCATCGTCCGCCAATGCCAAGAAGACTCAGGCATCCAAGCGGACCACATCCGATTGGGAGCAGCCCAACAAGACCAAGATGACCGTGGAACAGAATGCCGAGCGAGTGCAACAGATCCAGACGCAGATTGCCCTCCTTCAGAGGGAGCTGGCGCGGGAGACACAGATTCCGGAGGAAGAGGACATCTGAAACGTGCACCAGCACTTCTGAGTGGGGCTCAAGTTCAAGGGCTGCAGGCCCAGATTGATCAATTCGTTGGGGTGATCGAGAGAGACTTTACTCAAATCAGGCAAAAGGCCAATGTCTTGGAACCCCAAAAGCCCACTAACCAGAGTCGGCCTGTTGTTCTCTTAGAAGTATACTGTGAAAAGGAGTCCCAACTGACACAACAAATGAAAAGAATGGGAGGGATTGCACTTCGGTTTACACGTTTGCACGGTGATCTGACAACCCCAGAAGGGATCAACAAACTCTGGTCTTGGGTGATGATGTATGAACCCGAACACATATGGGTTGCACCTGAGT